GAGACGAGCTAATAGAGGGAAACTGATTGCAAGTAGTACACTAATTGATGGCAATGGGAATGGACAGAAAGCCACTTTCTATGTCCTGTTTGTTGGCTGAGGGCAGAGGATGGGATCGAACGGTACGTAGGCCTTCACCAGAGGCGGCATGACGAGCCGACTGTGAACCGAGGCGATGCGCGAAACAAATGGCCAGGATAGAGATGGCAAAACCAGTCCAAAACGACTGCCTCCAAGCCTGTAGGCGTCAGAGTGGACCGTCGAGGTGGAGACAGTCGGCGTCCAGAGGCGACGCAATCCGGTGCTATGACGACTGGCATGGCCGATGCAGAGTGGAGCTAAAAAGCCGGTTCAATGTAGGGAATGGGAATGGAGGTATAAGAAAGCGTAGCAGGCTGTAGCACTTTGTAGCATAGGCATTAAAGGTGCTTATTCAACAGCTGCCGATCGAATTGCTGTCTCGAAAACCACTTATACCATAAATTATTGTTCACTCGTTCAATGGGGTTGATTATATGGCAAGTTAATGAAGCATGGGGTGGTTTTATGCGCGCTCTGAGTTGGGATAATGCACTATTCAGGTCCAATTTAGTTGTGTGAACACAACTCATATATCGTATTTACTGGTAGTCCCCAAGACCTACTTATTTTCGAAAAAAGTAATGTCGTCGATTGCTATAGCAAATATAAGTTTGCTTCATCACAATGCCAACAATGCAGAATGTGGCGTGGAAAATGCCTGATATTCCATTAAATTAACATTGTACGCTGCGTTGTCATGGCTCAACTCTCGCTTGGGGTATTGATAGGACCGATGCGAAGTCGAAACTGCAGTCCACTCATCCTGCCTGGATGAGAAGACCTTTTCGGAGAACAAGGCAATGCGATAATAGTCAGCGCAAAACATCAGCTCTTCTCATATCATTTTAAGACAATCAACTACCAGTCCTTCATCACTGCTGAGCTGTTGGTGTTCTGGCTCAGTGGGCAAGCACTCGACGTAAACAGACGCTGAGAGCTGAGATGAGTAAATGGCGATGTCCAACTCATGAGCATTGTCGGGGTGGCCCTGAAACGTTACGTTTCCAATGATTTTCACATAGCCTTACTTTATCAGAAGGTATTCT